AAGCCTGGGCTGTGAATCCAGGGAATGGCTGTGGGATGCTCCATGGGAGCCCACCATCACCACCCTCAAGGGGCACAGAGCCCTTTTGGCTTGGGCAGCAGGAAACACTGTGTTTCCCCACAAATTGTGCCCAAATGAGGCAAACATGAGAGTGCAACCAAGCCCCCCAGAGAGGAGACAGGCAGAGACTCTGAGACAGGGTGAGGATGGACCTCGAGGAAGAACTCACTAGACAGGCAAGAGCTCGTGTGGCTATCTGGGAGCCCCACAGGGAGAACAGGCAAGAGTGGGGCTCGGAGGGGAGAGAGACACGGCAAAATGCCTCGAAGTCCAGGGGAGGTACTGAATGAGCAGGGATGGGGGAAAGTGGCATGGTTTGCAACGACATCCCTGGGGCATTCCAGGTCTGCCCACTGCATCCCAAACTGAGTGGGAACCACGAGCCTTCGACAGGGATGGAGAATTACACCAGGTAAGGAAGACCACACAGAACAGGGCAGGGACCTGCCACTGCTCTGCGTGGTGACCCCATGAGGTTCTTGCCCTCGTCCGGCCCGGGTGGAACTCATTGCCTGGGGAGGGGGTGTCTCACCTCGATCATGTCGATGAGGTTGGAGAAGTACTGCTGGCTGTCGATGCTGAGCGTGTTCTCCTCGTGCATCACGCGGTAGTGGATCACCTCCTTCCCGAAGCTCACGCACAGCACGTAGTCGCCAGGGTGCCGGATGGACTCTCGCACCAGGAACAGCCCATCCTCGGGGGGCTGCAGCTCCTGCACTGCCTCCACCCCGGAGATCTTCCCATGGAACCAGCTAGGGAAAGGGGCATTGGGCAGAGAGGCCGTGCTGGGAGCTTCCCCCCACGCCAGCCGTGCGATCAGAGATCATAGACTCATCAAGGCTGGAGGAGACCTCTAAGACCATCAAGTCCAACCAACCTACCACTCTGCTGTATGAGATGGGCAGAGCAGAGCCCCCACCAAAGCTCCACAGACCCCACTGCACAAACCCCCTCCCCATGAGGTCCATCCAAATGGGATGGGCACAACTAGGAGTCTTTAAAGCCAAGCACTGTGTCCATCAAATCCCTCCATCGCCAGGGCATGGCTATGGGAAACTCCAGCCCAGCTGCCCACACGAAACCTGGACGGGGCAAACACACTGGACTCAGCTGCTGTCACAGCTCCCAGGGGTTCAGCTGGGCTGCCCTTCCCCCCGAGTCCCCAGCTGTACTCACGGCATGAGGCTGAGCTTGGGGTCGGCGCGG